ATTATAACCGAGGTCGCAACGTCAAAAGCCACTGGGTACTAGGAAACCGGGAAGGGAAAATGTTAGGCCGATGGAGGTGTTGGAGAGGAATGCCGAGACACTAATTCTCATACTCCAACGAAATGCTCGTCCTAGATCTGGATATCTTTGTTGAAGGCATTGTCGCGTTCGCGAAATTGATTTTTTGCGTATTAGAAATAATTAGAGATGAATATCAGTTGTAAGTGCTTCTAATAAAAGGTCAAAAATCACCTCTTTCAACCGCATCCTAATTACCTATGATTTACTGAAGAGATTGAGGAGTTATGATCGATCGCCTCCACGTGGTGCTCCCTGGAAACACTCAATGCTGGCTAAACTATCGAGAAACAACGATAATTTGAATATTCTTATATGTAATGACCGGTGGTGGTGTCTTTTTTGTTTTTTATAGCAGGCGAGCCGCTAGTGCATTTTCCACCGTTTAGGCTCATACTGCTCAAAACCTCACCCAATTTTCAGTAAATATTGGGATAAAGACAAGCCAGTTGCATTAAAGACGTTTATTTTGTGCTAAAACTCATTTTTTATTACGTATTTCTCCCAAAAAAGTACAATTTGGCAACAATGGGCTTTGTGCTATATGTTAAGAAATGAACGTTATAAAATGGCCCTTGAGAATTGTTTCTACCTTCAAACATTTCTCATAAATGCAAAGACTTTGGATATCATTGAAAATACGCAAAAAAATGGTAGAGGAATTTTGAGAAGACATTGAAACAACACAACACCTCTACACAGTTTACCAAGCAAAAATCACCATTTACATACGTATCTTCAACTATTATTAAGCTTATTACATTACATTATTAGTTTTGAACCTTTTTTTTGAAAAGAGTAACGAATTTTTATAGTATCATATCTATTTTCATTGATTTGATTTCTTTAATTTATCCAGAAAAAAAATAGGATTTCCGTCCCTATGTCTATACCTATAACGTGTAGTCTTATTAATATTACCTACACCCACGTCGCACGTCGTCGAATACGCATACCCCAATGTAAATGTGGTCGCAGAGTTAACAAAGCATGCAGAAGAAATACAAATGACGCCTGCGTTTCTATGGGGGTGGGGTGTCATTCCCTCTGGACGCAACCCCACCCCTGGCAGAAACAAACGCAATATCCCATCCGAGATGGAATAAAGGCAGTTTCCTCTGGCCGAGAGTCTGAGCCGCGGCTCAAAATAGCACTAAACAGAGCGAGAGCTGGGTAATGAATAATGGAACAGAAGGCGTTGTAAAGAAACAAGGCTTCTGGCGTGATTGAGAGATCGGAAGTAAGGCGCGGAATATAAAAAGGAGATCAGAAATCGTTCCGCCGCCGGCCGACGGCGTCTACTGACGACAAAAACTGATAAATATCCCTGAAGAGGGTTTATGCTGGAGATTCGGGGATCTTCGGTGAAGGGTTACGCCTTGATGTGGACTTAGGTGCGGTTAATGTCCAATGAAAAATGGATTGTTCCATCGATTTTGTTGTTTTTAGGATAGGGGCCAAGAAACATGTTGAGTTATAATTACGTTAATTCAACCACAGGTTAGAAAGATTGTATGATAGATTCAAAAAAAGTTATATATTTACTCCCAAGCGTTTGCCTTCTTTACAAAGTGGGAAATAAACTCAAAGTAATCTTGAAGTCAATAACTAGGTCGATCAAGCATTTATTAGTGATAGGTAGTAATTTTGCGTTTTGTAATCACCTGAATATGATCCAAATTTAACAATAAAGAAAACATGTCATGCGCATCTTTCTCTTGTGCATGCAGTTGGTAACCTAGTGGTTAAAAATAAGATTAGCTGGCGATGCACTTCTCTATTGCTAAGCCCGTTAAATAAATGCTTTCCATTTGTGATAGTGGTTCTATTAGGATGATTTTGAAATTAGATTTTTGGTCACTAGAAAACGAAAAATCTATGTGCAGAAAAATTTTTAGTCAAATGTGGCCACAATAGTTAGTCAAAATTGAGAGGCCTTAGAAATAAGATGAACTAACAAATTTTGTATACAATTTTAACATCCTGATTACATTATAACCTCAAATTAGCCAAGCTAATTTCGTGCAAAATAATGTATTTTTTGGTAATCTGGGTATGTTTGGAAAAAGTAACATAATATGTAAGCAATAACTTACCGTTTGTTTCTATATTAAAAAGAGTAGATATTAAATAAGTTTTCCGAATTTCCATCTGTAAAGATTTTTTTCATGAATTCTAACCCTAACCAATATGGTCTTAGTTAGGTTTACCCAATTTCTGACCTAATAATTACTTGAAGATTAAATTCTAACTCAAGGTGAAACTAGGTAGGTCCTTTTTGTTATTTTTAGACAAATAACTTGACATTGAATAAGTTTTCAAATTGATAATATGTAGTACGTATTTATAAGTTCCCAATAGCTGGAGAGATGTGTGGGAATCATACAATAATCCTACTTCGAATTATGTGTACGCCATAGAGAGAAATACTTGATAGTGATCATTCATTCTTTTTAATTACATTAGTTGTGCAGACAGATGGACGTTTTGGGGGGTACGTTCATTAGTGGCGTTTGGTGTTTGATTGTGATAGTTCTGTGGTTTATACGCTATTGTTCAATGTGGATCTTTAAAATCGCGTATTCAGTTTGATCCAAAGGAAAAAGGATATGTTCAGAAATGTATCACAGAGAAGAAAAAATCACTTAAAAATTACGTTCAGTATTACAGTCCGAATATTGAGCCGAACACAGCATTGATATACATTAGATTTATTCTAGCACGGACCGGAAACAAAATTGCCATGTAACGCTAATTTTTGGGTACTAGCTATGTTGCAAACTGACATTGAGGGTAGATTTTAGGTTAATATTAGGTAAAGTATAACCTCTGTAGTTTTCAAGGTCAGCTACCTTTTAGAGGTGTGTTTTTATAGTATTTAGTCAACCCATTTAACGTCTTGGTTAAAGATCCATTACGGCCGTAATTTGGTACGTGGCCACTTATTTTTAATAACCGATTCTTTTGAGGACATGACTAAAATTTGACAAAAATAGGTACTTTTTTCTTGGATGCTGGTCCATTTTAACCAAGTGATAGCTGGGAGCGCTTCTCTTGAATTAATAAATCCAATGTTATCATCATATGAAGGATTTTCTACACGACTATCGGTAGAATGGATAACAGGTTTTCCTTACAATGATGTAACCTACTAGTGCAGAAACTTTAGTGCGTAACTTTTTTTAATTTCCTTATATTCAGCAGAGCAGGTTCGCTTTTACAAAATGCTGTCTCTTTCCGATGATCGACCACCTGAGAAAAATCCCCGCGGACGCCGGTGATGTTTGTTTGTTCCTAGGATGAGGCTTCAACAACCGCTAACCAATATATCTAATAATATTTCTCAGTTATTTTACAGCAAGTTGTACAAAACGTTATGTATCTTGGGCGTATTAGAACGGGCTCTTCACACCATGTGGGGTCTAATTAAGCTTAACAAGAATAGTTGTTACTCTTTAAGTTGATCTATTTCTCCATTAAACTTTTTGGTAGAGTATCACCAACATTGCATTCAGTCACGGCTACCTTTATACGGCTAGTTTCCATATTTTAACTGAGCTAAAACTAAATTCATTATTAGGAGGAAAAGGGGCGGGATTTTCCACAACTTAAAATTCGTACAAATTTCCTTTCGACCACACAATAGCAGATTTCGAAAAAATTATACAGATTTTACTTTCGAGTTTTGCATTTAAACATTTATAGAGAATTGCAAATTCAAACTGAAATTGCAAGACAAGCACTGAAAATGCAACCTCCCGCTTTGAAACTGTGTATTGCTTCAATCATCAGTTGCAATACTGGTGGGGCATCTGTCTATTTTCATAAGTAATATAAGACAATCTAATTTTTACGAAAAAAGTCGAAAAAACACGTTGCTGAGTAATATAATTTTTGTTGAAAAAATATCACTTTGCATTGTGTTATTTCGATTTCTTTCACAGGAAAAAATAAATGCCCGAATGATATTTGACAAGATTATTTCATGAGATCATGTTATTTCTGGTGTCCTAGAAGACCATAATTACTTGTTATCAAAGGTATTGTAATTTTTGGTGAGGATAGCTGTCAAGTTTTGCCCCGGGTAAACGCGAGAAAATTCTTGACAGGTGCTGTCGTCCAATTTAACTATCAAGAAACCATTTGTAATTCAAAATTTTGCGCTTGTGATTGGTAGAAATTAAGACCAGGGAAATAGTCATGTTTATGAACCATTTGGAAAATGTTTGTTTGAGACAAAGAAGTGATGGTATACATCCCACAACTACAGCAATATTTATTTTATTGTATAAAGATATAATCATGTGTGTATTCTAGGATCTTAAATAAAAGCTGTTCTGCCAAAATTCGTTCATTCCGCTTTCCTCCCATAAGATCGCGGAGCTGAGGTCGGGCAAGTCCGATAAAAGACCAATCCTATTTTTAATCCTCTAGAAAAATAACATCTGTAGTACTAGACTTATTATTCCAGACGTGTATACAGGATGATTGAGAAAGACCTAGCTAGCAATACTGCTAGAGTAGGATGTACATACAAAACACGAACATTTTCCAAGTAGCGCTATAATGAAATGGGATGACTCTCTTTCCGATTCCACCAACATTATTATTATGGACCAATAGGAAAATACCTTATCGAAATGCAATTTGATGGAAGCTGACAAAGGTCTCAGAATATCAGTGATTTCTATTAAAATGTTGAATAAAATCGTTAAAATTCGGCTGTATTATAAACAAGACCACTTTTTGATTCCAACATGATGCTTTTGTACAGAAAAAAAAGAACAACTTTCATGTATTTTGATATATGTTATAGGTTTACATTTAACAATCCGTTATCCCCCTCAGCGAATGGGAATGCGACAAATAACAGGTCGATTTTCTAGCTGTTAAATTTGGAACCAGGTTTGGTCGTTTGTTAATTCATGGCAATCTCGAAATCAAAGCAATCAAAACAGTATGTCGTCCCCATCCTAAAACACCGATATGTGTAAAACATGTTAATCCCTACATATCCGAGGTGCATAATGCAATTACTGTAGACATAGACCTAAAATTATCAGTAATTACTGAAAAATAATATCGGGCTCATGCACGACTTAACGTAACCGAATTTAAGGATCAGCTGTTTCTACACCAGTGTCCTCCACATGTTACGCCGCCAGATGGTAACTAGCTAGTGATTTCCAGTGGTGGTCAAACGTTTTGGTGACGTCACAGCCATTTTTTGACATGATTCGGGTGGTTTCGGAACTCGTCTTACCCTTGGATAGCTCTTTCTATACTGTTCTATGCTCGTATTGACGTAATTATAATAATTCTGTGGTGTCTCGTGTTCCACGACGATTTACGGTCAAAGCCAGGCGGTGAATCATCTGTTGTTTTTGTTTGAGTTGTTGAGGAATTTGCGGTAGACATTTATTTTGGTGTTCGTCTTCGGGTGTGTTTTTCTGCCTTGGACTTGTTTTTTATGCGATTAATTGAGGATGGCCATGCCTAGAGCAAAAAAACGAGAGCCGCGCTGGTATCAACTCCTGACCGTGGTGAAGAGGTACCTGCAGAAGGCACCTGAATGCAATTGGACATCGCCAGAGGAGCGCCTAATGATGACGTCGTGTACACGTTAAATCTGCACGAACCCCTGAATACGTGGTTATGTTGAATGTACCATCACCGATGGTGCGACTGATTATACACTGAAATTAAAACAAAAAACTGCAACTGCAATTGTATGTATGAATGTTGAAACTGTTGAACAGTTTCGGACCAGTGGGGTTAAGATATCGTTGAGTAACCGGAAAGAAGTGTATAAATATGTTGAAATGCATTACCTAACAAAAATTTGAGTGAAAAGGCTTTTTCATGTAAGGGTTTGGAAGTGCAAGTTTGCAAATATAGGATAAACTATAAGCACACAGTAGGTGTTATAATCACATATGGATTACAAAAGTTGCAGTAAAGATGGAAAAAACCTTCAGCTAATCTGAAAAAATAGATTTTACTCAGACATCAAGCATTTTTTAAAATTTTGGCTCAGTTTTACATAATTTCATAATATTTAATAAACTGAAAAGATTTCAATGGCAAGCTGTCACTTCATATTTTACAGTGTTTTGTTTTGAATACTTTGATGCTAATTGCTGTCAAAATTTTGACGGAGAGATCTTGAGGCTGATTGGGTATATTTGACGGACTGTATGGTAATCGTACCCTATTGGTGCAAAATAATGGTTTGTTAAATTGTGAAATCCACCCTTAATATTCTACATATAATTTTCACTGGCAAACGTCGCTAAATTCAGCGTATTTTCAAAGTAGAACTAGTTGGTTATAAAGGGTTTTTCAATAGCTTTGTTCGAAATTTGGCAACATCTTCCTTTGATGTTTCAGGTGGCACGGCTATCATTCCTCGATGTTTGTGTTCAGTCATAGTCGCCATTATACCATGGAGCGCTACACTGTGCAAAAACGCGTTGCAATTGTTAAAATCTATTGTACAAATTCGTGTCTATTCGTCAAACTTTTCGCCGAAATAATCGTCCAACGGAGCGAACAATTTAGCGAATTATCGCCAAATTCGAGCAAAACGGTTCGGTTGCTGATCGATCAGTTCCTGTAAGATGCAGAAGCACGCGGTCAAGCGAGAATATTGTTGCTGTTGCCGAAAGCGTAGCTGAAGACCCAAACCTTTCGATGCCGCGACGTGCACAAGCAATTGGCCTGTCTTGGCCTCGACTTGGAGAAGTTTATGAAAAGACTTCGACAGGTATCCATATAAGATCCAGTTGACGCAGGAACTGAAGCCCCAAGACCACCAAGGGAGTCGTACTTTTGGTTAAACGGCTTCGTGAATATACAAAGTTGTTGCATTTGGAGAGACACAACAGTATCAAGAGTCTGGATTGCATCCGGAAAAACTTAATGTTTGGTGTGGGTTTTGGTCAGGCGGCGTCATTGGACCGTATATCTCTCTCGAGAACGGCGAGACGGTGACTAGTCTCAACTGGATGATATGGACCTAAACGACATGTGGTTCCAACAAGACGGCGCAACGTGTCACATGTCGGCCATTACATTGCAGTTGTTGCAAGAAAAGTTTCCAGGACACGTTAGTTCCAGAAGAGGCGACATGGAATAGCCGCTAAGATCGTGCGATTTAACGCCCTTAGACTTTTTTCTCTAGGGAAACGTTAAGTCGCTGGTTTTTGGCAACAAACCAACAACAATTCACCAACTGGAGAACAACACCATTCAAACCATTGGTGAGATCCAACCCGACTTATCCAGCAGAGTTTTACAAAATTGGACCTAAAACGTAATGGTACTGAATGTACTTTAATACTTAATTGAAGCTTCAATCATATGTCGCACACAACTCGTTTTATTCAATTTTAAATTTCAGACACACTTAATGAAAAACTCTTTACAGGTTGTATCTTAGATATTCAACCTAATGTTTCACCAAGCGACAAAAGTTTCTCAAGAGAGAAGATTTACGTAAAGTTGAATATCGTATTCAAAAATGCAGTCGATGTATCAGAAAAGTCGTAAAATACTTTCCTTTGTAGGCGCCAAAATTTCCTAATCTCTACGCTGATGGAACAGTTTCGGACTACTACATGTACTCATTTTTAGGTCAATATCTGAAGCCACTCCAACAATATATTTCATTTCGATAAAGATTTCAGCACTCCCATATCTCATGTTTATATAAACCCTTCGTGATATTTTTTTATCTACTTAATGCCCTGTTAATGTTGCCACGTTTTTCTGAATCACCCTGTAGGAATAACAATCGAGGTTCTATACAGTTCACAGTGTAAACTTGGCTGACTGTATCAAATTAATAATATAATTGATGATTTTCAGTATTTTTATATGAATTGTTATATCATGACTGATGGAATCGCCTAATGTGCAAGTTCCGTGAACAGTAATGTTATTTATTCTGTAATGTTTGGGACCTATCACTCAACTTCTCGATTTAGAATTATATCAATAAGTATGGATTTATTAGTATAATACCGCAGTTGGCAAGCCTGCACGTCGCACTAAAAGATTTTGACCACATATGAAAAATCCTCTTTATTTATATGCATCCCTGTTTCTACATACACACGTACTCAACAGCAGCAGAAAAAAACCACCCGTGTGTCAGCGGAAATATGAGAGAAGGGAAAATATTTTCGAAAATGGCCGTCGTCGTACAGCCAGTTGGAATTCAACCGGGGCATAGAGAGGAATAACTACGGCGCGGCCATATCAGTCTTCCTTCACGGTGACAGTCCGTCATTTGTCAGTGTCTGAAGCACAGTTGGCGGTGGAACGGTGTCATGTGGGACAAAACAGCATCGGCGGACGCGTAGACTGCGACTTTGCAGGGGGTTGGAACGGGCTGTAGGGTTACAGTCTAGTAGTGACGCAAGGGGACGCGTCATTAAGGCGCTGTCATGTCAATATGATCCGATGGGGTGGCTGAGCATTGCGCGGATACAAAAGGGAGTTTTTTTAATAGGGAGTGCGGTTTGGGACGTTTGCGTATTAGGATGGACACATGGGCGTCGATACCACGCGCAAAGGGAAGATTAAGCATGAGAAATTAATTCAAAGCAAATAAAACAAAATACTCCTTGTAAGCATGATGATTCATTAAAGCTACAGGATAAAGGCGTTCGTAGCTAGCGATTTAACAATAAGAACATGTGTTGACTACTATTGCTAGCAATACGTAAACAGTAATAATTTATTCACATTATTTACATAATTTCAAAAAACAAACAAAAGGATAGTGCCTTGGAAATGCAACGCGCTATTTCTGAATTCTCACTTCATTACCTCGTATCTTCTCCGCTACTCCATATAAAAATAAAAAAAAAATACACTCAATAACGATTTTCACAAAAATTTCGTCTTTGCGTACGGTAAAATAGCTACATGTCAAACCAAACTAGAGAATTTAGGCATTTTGGATCTTCTGCGGTAAAATACTGGAAAAAGGCAACCAGAAAAATACTTTGACCATGTTTTTATTTGTCTAACATTTACCTGCCTGATACTATGTAAGGTATTTCGTAGTTAAACATAGTATAAACTGAGACCTTTTCATATCTGAAGATAAAACAGTTCTTAATTCAATTTTTACGGATATACAGGGTGAATCATCTGAGCATGCCAAAGCTTTGATATCATAACTCGGACAGTATTGAGCCGAACATTGAAATGTTTGACTCTCGAGAAAAAAGCCAATAAAAAGTGCTAAATAATTAGCAAAATAAACTGCGCCTATTTTAGTTTATTAGTCAAACAATTTTATTAATTCAAATATATTATTTTTAGAAATTTATGAAACAAAACACACAAAATTTCAAAGCTTATCAACATAGTCAAGCATCTCAATGTTCAGCATAAAAGGTGTTGATTTTGATACAGAACAAAATAGTGACTAAAACCAAGTCTGACACTGGATTTTTCAACAATTCATCTAGTTTTATGTTACTGCTACGTAACTTTTGTAACGTGCAAAATCTGAAAGTAATCAGTTCATTAGATATGTGATGTTAAAGATTTGGCATGTTTAGACCCTGTACATTGGTGAAAACTGAATTTAGACCTTGTTGTTTTCAATCCATACTACTTACTATTTCTCACTGTCCAATTAATAACGGATTACGGAATACCCTGTATATAGGTTTCAACTTATCAAAAGCTCCCCAAAACCATCCAAGCAACCCACGCCTTAAGCCCCAAACTTTATTGTCTGTCTCTATATCAAGACACTACTGCAAAACTGAAAAATAATTCAGAAACCCCAAAGCTTCGGAGGAAAGAACGCCGAATTGAGCATCCGATGGTTTTCATGACACTTGTGTTTCTGCGAGTATGTCAGAAAACTGAACATGCCTTGATATATGAATACACAGCTTACGAAATGTTGAATAAAAATGGAAAACGTATGACTTCGCCAACAAATAAGAGAAATAGAATAAACATAAGAAGGAAGCGAATGTCGTCCCAATAGATACATACTAACCTTCATGAAACTTACAAATTCAGATCGAGTGAAAGAGTTGTTACAACATCCGATCAGCTATTCCTTTGTTGAATGACCAAATTGACTTGAGGCATACTTTTTTCATTTTAACTTGTATAGAATCTTATAGATTATATGGTACTTTAGTACAAGGTCCGTCAGAAAGAACGCATGTTTTTAAATAGTCAGTCAATATAAGTACGGGAAATATATTTTATTATATCAAAATACTCAGAAATCCATGCCATTTTTTTTTGAGTAAAACAAAAGTTACGTTCTAAAAACTATGTCGGCTATATGGCGCCCTGAACCGAAATGCAGGAATCAAGCCTCTCCCGAAATGAGCCCATTGCGTCGGCCAGTATCCGTTCGGGAATTTGGGTTACTTC